ATCTTAGAACAAATGACTCAGGAATATATATCTCAAGCCAGCTCTGTCCTTGCCTATTTATCAATAATAGCTCAAACACAACAAGTTCAAAATTAAAGTCTGTTATTGTCTTTACCTGGTTGCCTAACTCATAAATAGGACATCACCCATCCAGTTGCATAATTAGAAACAAAAGCTCCATCCTTGACTCATCCTTGTCCCTTCCTTGTCATACCATCCCAGTGGCTCTCGAATCCCTTCACTACTCTCTCTCTCTCTCTCTCTACACACACACACACACACACACACACACACACACAGAAAGAAGTGTGTGTGTGTGTGTGTGTGTGTGTCACAAATGAACATCACCTCTCACCTACGCTATGCCAATCACCTCCTAATTGGTGCCACCTTTCTACTCTAGCACCCTCCAATCTGTCTTCTACACTGTTGTTAAACTGTCTTCCAAACACAAATTCTATCATGACATTAAAGGTAATATCAAAACTCCCTAACACAGTCCACATATTCTTTGGCCTGACCCCTCCTTTCTCTCTAAGCTCATCATGTGTCATGCTCCTCCTCACTGCTCCAGTTCCAGAAAACTCAATCTTCCTTCTACCCCTCACTGTCACCAAGTTCCTTCGTGAAGAATCCTTTGCACATGCTGTTTCCTCTGCCCTTTTTTCTGTTATCCCTTGCTCACTTCTACTCATGCTTCAGAACTCACAGCAAATGCCAGGTACTGAGGCCAAAACCCACTTGTACTTCTCCTTCCTGTAATATTCGTCCAGAATGCACATTTGCATTTGGTTCACTGACTATTTAATGGCCAACCAATTCTCTGACTACTATAATTCCACAAGGATAGGGACAAGCCTAGTTTTAGCTGCTCTGCATCCTAGAACCGAGGATCCTGGGATAAACAGTATACAGCACTAGGAGAGAGAGTGAATCCTGCAGCCAGACTTGTCTGGGTTCCATCTTACCTTTACCACCTGCTGACTTGAGATCTTGAGCAGGTCACTTACTTTCTTTGCACCACTCATCCATTTGATGAGAATAGGAATACCTGTACTACATTCCTCAAAGGGTTATTGTGACAGCTAAATGAGCTGATGTGAGCAAATTGCTCTAGAAGGGGCCCAGCTAGAAAGTAAACTAGGTTCTCAATAATGATTACTCATTGAGTGAATAAAATAAAACATAGCCTCTAACAGAATACCTCTAAGTTTCTTTAGCGGTTCTCTACTGTTTATAGTCTAAGCATCTTAATATCACCTTCTATTGGGGGAAATTTTCACAGACCATACTGGAAAACTGAAACAAAAGTTACAAAATACCACCTTATTAATTCGATACTCTTTACTGTTCCTATAACTACATGAGCACCATGAGTATTAAATTTCAATTTTATAACTATACATTTCATGTTATTATTTTGATACTTAGGAAGAATTAAGAAACTTCATGTTAGAATGTGAAAATTTTGTGCTATGAAAACTCTTATTCGGATGAAATATGACCTCTTTTCAATGTCTACAAAACTGAGGCTAACAAAATTCAAATGACCACAATAGTGAAGCACAGAACCCAACCAAGACCTAACTGCCAGATTCAGGCCCCTTTGCTGCACTATGCTGGGTTGAAATGTTCAACAGTGCAAAATTGTTTTGTATAATACAAACCTTCACATATTTTCTAGCATAAACTGTAGATAAAGTATTTTAGGCAAAATCATTTTATTAACAATTTCTATTTTACTATAATATTTTCATTTTTAAGAAGATACTGGATTTGAGGTCTTTAGAAGCAATCTATGCAACTTTAAAATAACCAGGTAAAGAGGCTCATTATTAGAGAAAGAACAATGTTATTAGCAAACAAAATTTAAAATGAACACGCAGGTTCTCCACTTACTGCTTTATCTCCCAGAGCTGTTCTGATACTAAGTCTCACTTTAAAAGCATTTTCTGCATCTGCCAGAAAGAAAAAAGAGCAGTGTATGATAAAATCTGCCCAAACTGAGCCTAACAAATCCTAATATCTAATGCAAATGAAATCAACAGAACACAGAACTGCAAATAAACTGCTCCCCAAATTCCTGAAGTTTAACTGTAATCACCTTAGGTGGTTTAAACTTTCAAGCCACAACATATCTATAGATTTTGAAAAATAAAGAGGTCTTTCAATCAAAGACTTATCAAACATTAAAAACTATTCATCTATTTTTAAGTTTCAGGGCTACATACCTGGTTGACAGAGTTCGGCACGAATAGCAGTTACCAGAAAAAAGAGCAGCCACCACATTCTTTCAGAGAGGAAAACACAAGACAAACCAAGGGAAAAATAATCCACCCTCCACTTAAAGCTGCTTTAGCCATTCTGTGACCTGGATTAGAATAGCAGAGAAACAAGCAAACCACCAGCTAGAAGGTTTAATGATTAATCCCCATCACTTAGGTTAATACTTTGATAAAACAACCCCATCTCCTGTCAGTTATTTACAAAAACCTGTTTGGAAAACAGGTTAGTTGTGCTTTGCAAACTCTAGCTTGAAAGAATGTTTCCTCTGCTGACTCAAAGTCAGAATTTCCCCCACACACACACTCCCTTTGTTGTCTGATTAAGCACAGGATGGAAAGAATTGAGTCCTCTCTGGAGGTTTTTTCCAGGTATGAACTTCCCATCTTTTCAGGACTAAAGTATCTATCTGGCTGACAGATAAGCTATCTTAATTTGGAAAGCTAAGATCACTCCTTTCTATCTCTGGAAACAAAAGCCTTGCAAGAAGGGCCTTACCTGACTCACACTTCAGCAGGCAAACATCCTGGCCCAGCTTCCAAATCAAAGGGAATGATTTTGGTCAGCCTGAAGGTGTGGGAGCTGTGCAAAATCACAGCTGATGACAGAGAGCAGTGCTGTCCAATGGAACACCCTGTGATGATGGAAATGCTCTTAGCTGCACCACACAAAGTGGTAGCCAGTAGACATGGGTGACTGTTGAGCACTTGAAATGGGGCTGGTGCTGCTGTGAAAGGAATTCTTGATTAAATTAAGTAGCCACATGTGGCTGGTGGGCACATTGGTCAATGATGCCATAGAGCAGTTATTAAGAGCTGCCCACCACAAACTAGGTCTGCTGGGTTCTTTCTTTAATCCTCCAAAGAGCACCTCACTGGTGCAGTTGTTCTAATTACCTTACAGTGAGGAAATCAAGGCTTGTGTTCAAGGCATTGGTGGCAATGGGAGGAGTGAATAGGTGTCACTTGAACCCTCTCTCCACCACACTGAACCACACTGCATCTCAGGTCATCATGGTGTAAAAGCTGAAACTGCAGCAAAACCTCAGAGATGCTCTGAGTAAGATAAAGAATGGACAAGACTCCTTCCCTGGGGGGCACTCTGTAGAGGCCAGTAGAAGCCCCACAGAGGGTCCATGTCAGGGCTGTCCTCTCTTCCATGCTGCCTCTTCATGCATTTGCTCCCCAAACTCGACCTTGTGGCTTGAAAACCATGAGTGGGAAAATTAGGTTGGGTGACCCGGATGTTAAATAGAAAGTTTGGATTTTTAAAGCAACAATGAGAAAATGCAAACAATGACACTTCTTCAACACTTTGAGAGTCACACCATTTCCCCCTCCTAATTAGGGTGGTATGTTATCATCTGACCCATTTGTGTTTGCTAACTCCACCTGAGGAAGCTTTTTGCCTTTCCTCCACTTTGGTTGCCAGGGCTCAGAGTCAGGCGAAGTTAGACTAGAGGGAGAGGCAGCCAAAAGTTAGCCCAGCCATTCCAGAAGTGTCACTATTTAGTGAATTTTCATTTCACTAAAATGAAAATTTCCTAGAAGGAAAAGCTCACATAACTAACCCTTGCAAACAAGGTCAGACTAGATCAAGTTATCTTGGCAAATGTTAGACAAGATAAAGTCATCATGGGAAGGAAAAGTCAATAGAGATTGTAAGAAAGCTGATAACTGGCATCAAGGAACAAAGCCATGTTAGAGACAGAAATCCAATTCAGCTTTCCTTTAGCCTGAAATGTCATAAAAGTACCAAATACCTCTCTTTTGCTTTTACTTAATCATCTACGTGACTAGAGTTGAAGACAGGAAAATGCTGAATTGTAGTCTAAGCCATTCATTTGAAGAGAGAAAATATTTTCCCTTTTAAGTTATGATTTCTCAATGTTTGTTGTCTCATTTTAAAAACAACAGAAAAAATTTGCAACACAAATTCTGTACAGAAAACATAGAAAAGTACAAAACACCCATGATGAACTAGCACGGATGACCAATATTAATATATTTTAATAGTTGATACATACTTTCCTTAACCTTGGATCTTCTTGCATGATGTTGCTGTCGTTTTGTCTCATTGTAGCAGCACTATCAGAACAGGATGATGTAATGGGAATAACATGAACCTTGTCATCTTCCTCACTTTAATGGGATTACTGGTCTTCCACAGCATCTGGTGAGTCACATTAAATTTGATGTGTTATAAGATAAAAGTCTCCTTTATTTCCAGTTTACTATTTTCTTTTATCAATAATTAATGTTGAATTTTATCAACTGTCTTTTCAGCATCTCTTAATATGATCCTAGAGTTTTTACCATTTGGTGCATTATATTAATAAATTCCTTACATTGAATACTCATTTTGATGATTTTTAACATGCTTCTAGACTCAATTACTGCTTTTTTCCTGGGTTTTTTAACTTATTTTCATAGAATATCATGTAGCTAATTTTTTAAAAAAATATATGTTTTCATTGATTTCAGAGAGGGAGAGAAAGGGAGAGATAAAAACATTAATGATGAGAGAGAATCATTGATAGGCTGCATCCTGGATGCCCCCATTAGGGATCAAGCCCACAACTGGCATGTGCCCTGACAGGGAATCGAATGGTGACCTGGTTCATGGGTTGATGCCCAACCACTGTGCCACACCAGCTGGGCTCAAGTGCTGATTCTTAAAGTTTATTTTTTCCTGCTTTTATATTGCCATCTTGAAATGTTATAGAAAGATTTCTAACATTGTCTATGTTTACAAATACTTAAAATGCAGAAAAAATACAAAATTCAGAGTTGAAGAATGTGGACCATATCTATTATGGAGAAAGTGTTATTTCAAAAGTTTCATTTCTTGTATTGCCATTTATTATAGGTTTCATATTTCTTTCTGAGTCCATTTTGGCTATTGACAACTTCCATTCATTTTATTAAGATTTTCCAGTATTCTCATGGACTTTATATATCTTTGCCATAAAAAAATCTACATTCATTGCTTATATTCCCTTTATATTTTCTGGTGTGTATTTTTTTCTCATTTTCCCATTATCTTGCCAGAGGTTTATCTAGTTTTGTTGTTGTTTAATCAAAGAATAAGATCTTGAATTTAATTTTCAATTCTTTTCTTTCTGCTTTGTGATTCATCAATCTTATTTACATTCATTAAGTCCTTACCCCTGTTGTCATTATACTGGCTTTCTTGTTCTTTTTATAACTCTTGAGCTGGTTAATAGGCTTATTTCTTTTTAATCTTTCTCAGTTAATAATGAAAATATCTGTGGCTATTAATTTTCCTTGGAGTATTCTTCTGGCACATGACATAAGAAGTATAGATGCACAGTGATCTCATCCTTCTTTTCAAAAAAGTCTATAATTACGTTTTAATTTTTCTATATTCCAGTATTTTCTTAGAAAAGTATTTGACAATTGCAAAAGAAACAGCAGCCCAAAATGAAATGATTAAAAATATCAACTTTTGCCCAGCTTGTGTGGTTAAGTGGTTGAACATCGACCCATGAATTAAGAGTTTCATTGGTTCAATTCCTGGTCAGGGCACATGCCTGGGTTGCGGACTCAATTCCCAATAGGGGGCGTTCGCGTTCACGAGGCAGCTGATCAATGTTTCTATCTCTATTTGTCTCCCTTCTCCCTCTAAAAATCAATAAGAACATATAAATTTTTTTTAAATATCAACTTTCATGGGTCCCGTCAGGTGAATAGAAAGAGAAACTATAAAGTAAGACATTGACTTAAAATATGAAGATTCTTAAAAGGTAGGGATCACTTCAAACATGCTAAAAATGATTTAATAAAGAACTTGATAGCTCAATAAAATAGGTGGAACACAGAACTAGATACTATTGTTCTTGCCTCTTAATATACTGTCTTTACTTTCTTATACTTTTCAAAATCTTGTATCTACTCTTTATTTTCATGTACAATTTTAAGTATTAAACCTCCTGAGAATTCATATCAAACTTGCTTCATACAATGCTCATTTCAGCAATTCCACATATTGGAGCCTAATACCTTATTAGTAGCCATGGTAATGATGACAAGTAAAGCAGTTTCAATCATTCTGAATATGTTACTACTGACTTCCTTCTTAAAAAATCAAATCTTTATTGTTGAAAGTATTACATATGTCCCCTTTTCCCCCATTGACCTCTCCCACCCCACCCCTGCTCCCCATCCCAGGCCTTACTATTGACTTTCAATGTCCCAAGCTTAGAGAACATAAATAAAAGGTTGAGATTATTGTTGCCATGAGCAGTAGGAAACACAGCGAGTCTCTTGAGACAGGAAAAAGAAATTGATTTTTCCATGTTTTTGCATACTCCACAACAGTATTGAAAAGCAGGTTCTCAGCACATAACTATTGATCTGCTCAGGAGGGTAAATTAAATATGAGATCACGTGAAAACATGTGGGTTGTTCTTTTCATTCATGTGAGATGCCTTTTTAAGATCATCACAGCTTTAAAAGCATGTGGGGATATATATGCTCCATTTACCTTCAATGAAACAAGAGGTAGGAAGAACCAATGTTGCTTTTAAAACTTAACCCCAATTATTGTTTCATTACCACATACAGGTGTTCATAAAACCATAACACCTAAAACTAGTAAACTGTGAAACCATTTCAAATATAACTTTACTCTGCACATTTTATTGGGTTTTGAGAAATGTATCCAGCTGTGACACATTAAAAGAAATCAAACTTTTAATAGCTGAACATTTTGTACCTTTAAAAACTATTGGCTCTACTCATTCATTTTCTAAAAGTTGTAGAATTTTTAATAAATGTGACTCTTCATCATTTAAACTGAAATGACATTGATATGCTATAAAAACAGTATCAAGATGTTTATAGTAATTAGTCTAATATTTTCAGTATAATTAGGAGGTAAAAATTACTTTTCTCTTTAAATTTTCAGTGTTAAGGTACATGGGAAGATAAAGTAGTTTGTTTATTGTGAAAAATACTATTTTACCTCAGTGGTTGTCGATGGAGGTGGGGGTGGTGGATTTTTTTTTCTTACAGAAGACATTTTGGCAACTCAGGACATTTTTGGTTGTCACTACTGGTATCTGTTGGTTAGAGGACAGGGATGCTGCCAAACATCCTACAAACTTTAGAAACATCTTTTAGGCCTTTATATAGTACCTTTCTGCTCCTTGTATTTGAGTTGGAAATAACTGACAAAAGGAAGAACAGGAGATAAAAGGAAACTAAATTGTGTAAAATCAAGCATACTATGAGATTTTAACATCATTTGTTCCACATTCTGAAATTATTATTAAAATAAACTCATTTATCTTTTTATTAAGATGGCTAATAAGAAAGAACAATTGCCTGGTTGCTGCACCCAGTCCAACAGCCCATTCTATATAATAAAAGCCTAATATGCAAATTGACCAAACAGTAGAATGACCAGCGGAATGACCAGCGGAACGACTGGTCGCTATGACACACACTGACCACCAGGGGGCAGACCCTCAACGAGGAGCTGCCCCTGGCTTGAAGGCCCTGACTGGTGGTGGCAGTGGGGAGTAGGGGGGCACCTGGCCAGCCAAGGCAGGTGCCAGCAGGGACCCCTCAATCACCCTGCCGGTTGCCCCACAGATCAGCCCTGATCGCCAGCCAGGCTTAGGGACCCTACCTGTGCACAAATTTCGTGCACCAGGCCTCTAGTGATTAATAAGGACATCTAAAACACACTATCACTGAATGTTTCTGTCCTTCTCCTTGTCATTTACAATGAAGTCATTTCCACATGAAATCTTCATTAGCACCCCTTTGCCTATGTCAGAGAATCCAAACTCTTGAACCTGTTAAGATCTGAAGCTAAGTTGGGCTTTTAGGACATATCCACATTAATGCTGCTGCTCCATGCTCCTCTAAGCCATTCTGCCAGCTAGTCCCTGCAAGTGGACTATATCCTACCTCTGTTCTTTCTGTGTGTTCTTTTCACACTAGTTCCTTAACTTCAATACTGGGAGCTTTCCCTTTTTCATTTTGTACCTTTAAACATATTAGCCATTTTTACAGGCCTATCTCAGTATCATCTCCTTTGAGAAAACTTTCTTTAGTTTTTGTTATCGATTTTTATTTGTTGTAAACTTGTCCAAACTACTAACTTTCTATTCTCTCTTCCTGCGTTCTTACAGCATTTTGTTCACAGCCATACATGCATTTATTGCTAACATGGTTTACTTTCGTATCCTACAAACTTTAAGTTTCTGGAGGGCAGGGGATATATTTGGTTCAATTCTACATTTCTCATGCCCCTTGAATATTTGATAATTTAATAAAACTGAATTGACTTATATGAATTATAAACTGACATTCTAAGTAGCTCGAGACTGTGAAAATGAAGTACCTATGAGGTACACTGCAATTTGTTTTTACATTTTTGGCCAGAAAATAACAACTTCATTATCATTGATAAACAAGAAATCCTAGGCTTTGGAATATTTTTGTTTCCACTCCCATATGATATGCCCTTTTTAAGATGAGAAAAAAATCTGAAGGTTCATCAAATTTTGAGGGTTAATAAAAAGCCATAACCATTATGAACTTTGTCCCTTTTTTTCACAGGGTAACATTTTTCTAGTTCAGAGAAAGTTAATCACTACTGTGTGGAAATAAAGATTAATTCAGACCAACTGAGTGAGTGTAATCCTGCCAACTTAATATTCCTAAGGTAGGAATTTAAAGGACATTTTTTAAAAATATATATTTTATTGATTTTTACAGAGAGGAAGGGAGAGGGATAGAGAGTTAGAAACAACCATGAGAGAGAAACAGCAATTCAGCTGCCTCCTTTATACTCCCTACTGGGGATGTGCCCACAACCAAGGTACATGCCCTTGACGGGGATCCAACCTGGGACCCTTTAGTCCACAGGCTGACACTCTATCCAGAGCCAAACCGGTTAGGGCTAAAGGACACTTTCTTAAACAGAATGCCTATGTGCTTGTCTTCGTGCCTCATCTTGTACATGAAGACCAATACATTAAAATGGGTTCTGTGTAGTAAAAGCAAGACTTTACTGACATTTATTCCTAGATGTTTTACTGTTTCCAATATTGTTGGGTTGTTATACAAAAAGAGTATTCTCAGTTAGGTAAGTCATGATTTTTTTTTTCTAGGCTAAAATTATTGCAGCCATGCTCTATAGAGTAGCATTTTCCATCCTTAATCTTCTGACAGTCACCCTGTCACATTTAGCCTAGCCTATAGGTACTTCCTTTGCCAACCTCTATAAAGAGGTGGAGGGGCTATTGGGCCATGTGTCTTTTTGGTTAGAGGTTCTCCTTTTCATAAAAGAATCTTAAACTAACCTTGTTTTGGCTGATATACAAAGCATATGAATTAATCAGTATATCAACATTTCTGCCCTTAAGTTTGGCCAGCAATAATGACCTTGATCCTGCTATTGTGTGAAAGTCATCAAAAGCCTATAGTAAAAAATGTTGTCTTTGAGGACTGCCTAAAAGACATGCATGCTAGACCTCTATTAGTACAAATCTGAAATGCCAGATAGGTTGTTGCAACCACTCATCCATCCTGCACCCACCACAGACTTTGTTATTTTATTAGAGAACTTTTTCCCTCTGAACATAGACTTAGTCACAAAACTTCCACAAGCAGTTGACAAGTGAGTTGAAACTTGCCGTAATGGGGAGTGGTGACCTAAATGCTGCCCTGAATAAAGCCTGTGATCTCAAATGAAAAGGAAGCTTGGGAGTGTCATAGAATTGATCTAATCCACTGTGCTTTGTGATTGTGTCCATAATTTACATTGAGAGTATCTATATAAAACTCTTTATCGTCCTTTGTTTCCTATTTAGTTCTCAGTGTCATGATGAAGAATCAGGATTTCCTTGGAGACTAAAAGTCAAGAAAAACTATGTTTCTCAAAAAACAAACAAACATGGACCTGAAGGGCATTATGCTAAGTGAAATAAGTCAGACAGAAAGACAAATACCATACAATCTCACTTATATGTGGAATATTAAAAAAACTAACAAAAGCAACAAACCAAACTCAGATATGGAGAAGAGACTGGTGGTTGCCAGAGGTGGAATGAGGGGTGGGAATGGGGGGTGAAATGGGTGAAGGGAGTAAAAAGGTACAAATTTCCAGTTGAATAATAAATAAGTAATGGGATGTAACATACAGCACGGCAACTACAGTTAATAATACTGTATTATAGACTTGAAAGTTGCTAAGAGAGTAAATCTTAAAGTTCTCATCACAAGAAAAAGAATCTGTAACTGAGTAGTGAGATGTATGTAAACTACACTTATTGTGATCATTTCAACATATACACTAATATTGAATCATTATGTTGTACACTTGAAACTAGTATGTTATATGTCAATTATATTTCAATTTAAAAAAAGACCAGCATTTGCCAAGTCCTTTTCCACCTAGTAAACAATCCCCATACTACACCTTCCTTAACTTTCTCATCAAATCTTGTTCCAGTCAAATTCAAGTGGGGGGGGGGGGACTTCAGTCTGTAAGCTTCTTGTGGTTTTCTTATTTGTCACTGGAACTCAGTACTTCATAAATGCAATTTAAACTAATGAATACCTGAATGGTTAATGGAAAGTGCCCTGCCCCCAGGAGTGCCCATTCAGAGATTTCGGGGCAGGAAAAAAACAACAAAGCTGGTAATAACCGCTTCACTTTTTTTTTGTGGACCCAGAATTGTAACTGGAGGGAGTAAAGAAGATAATCTCAGAGTAGGGGGCCGTAGGCAGAGGTTTAAGTGTGGTATTGTCTCCACAGGCCCTACACACAGGGTGCCTAGGAAAAATCATCTTAAGGCTACATCAGGAAGTAGAGGCGCATGCTTACTCCGTGCAGCTGCTTAGCACTAAAGGTCAGCCGAGGGGCTGGTAGGAACACAGTTCCAGTAGGTTCCCAGTTATGTTTCCGATCCGGATTCTGCTCATAGTTGTGGTGTTTGGAGCTGGGAAAAATATGAAGAAAAGTCAATTACTAGACGAGGATCTAGGATCCCCAGGCCTGTTCCCTTATATAAATGCCTCTGACTTCTAGCTCTGAGACCTGGGAGGTTTTCTCTGGAAACTCATGGGCCCCGCCCACTCCTCCATGGCTTCTCAGGACCAAAGGAGGGAGAGCGGGAGGCGTGAGTTGGTCTGGAAGGAACCAACAGCAGGTGGCCTGGGAACCCAGGGAGAGGCCAAGACCGAATGTAGGAAAATGCGCAAGAGCGGGATGAGCCTGGCCAACGGATCTTGCCACGTATCAGGGACCGAACGTCGGAATTGGTCAAGACAGAGGGGCGTGGAATGCAGGAGGGAAGAAATGCGACCCGGACCACAGGGGCAGAGCCTGGAACCGGGCGTAAGGAGCGCAGGCGCCGGCCCTGTGGGTAGGGGCGGGGCCTTGGCCTAGCCCAGAGACTGCGGGGGCGGGGGGGGGGTAAACTCAGGCACAGGAATGACTAGAGTTAAAAGCAGGGACAGGGCACAAGGGACAGACGTGGAGTCAGCAGAAGGAGGGTGAACACCAATAGAGAGGAGGGGCCACGGAGTAGTGTACGCAAGGACGTACCCTGAACCTGAGGGCGCGCCCAGTCCGTAGGGCGTAGCTTTGCTGCCCTCAGAGGCGTCGCGAAGACCGTCCTAGGAGGAGGTTTGAACCCAGGCAGAGGGAAGGGGCGGGGCCACGTTAGCGCGCAGGCGCTCCACCGTGGAAGAGGCTCTGAGCAAAGCCCAGGTGCCCTTAGGAGGGCGTGGCCGGGGCGTGGCTTAAGGCATTGTTGGGCGTCGGGGGCCCAATTGGAAATACGTAAGCGAATGACGCGCAGGCGTGAGGGGCGTGTCGAGACGTGGGGGGGCGTGGCCAAGATGGCCGCCCGCATGAACCTCATCCCGGTAGCAAGTGCAGCAAGGGGACGTGGCCTAATAGAGAGGACAGGGACCCTCTCACATACACAGCCACACTCTGCGATGCGTCCGGGAGCCGGGACAGCTGTTGACCTCGGGAGGATGGCCACAGTCCCGGCGGGAATTCTCTGAAGAATGGTGGGGAGGAGGCAGGGAATCGCCCCTTCCTTCTCTAACCCTGCTTCTCCACTCCTGAGTGTCACTGGACAACTACACCCCCTTAGAGTTCTGTCCATTTAAAAGTAGAACAGCTGTCCCAAAGAATTCGGGTGCTGGGGGTGTTGCAGTTGCAGAAACCGAGGGGCCTGTATCTGGGTCTCACTCAGACCTGCATTGTTGATCTTCCCGGGAAAGATTCACAGCCACTCCCAGAGCAGAAGGTCAGTAGCATAGCTGTGTCATTTGGACTACTCTGGGCCTTCTCTACTTCTCAATTCTTTCTTCTTTCCTTTTTCTTTTGTATGCAGTCCCGGGAGCTGGAGGGGAAGAAACTACAAAATACAAACCTTGTTGGTGCCTATGATTCTTTGTGGCAGGAGTTAAAAACTTTTGCTGTAAGGCTCCTGGAAACTCGTTCTTATAATCAGTGTAATCCCCACCCACCATTTATTTTTGTTGAGAAATATGGGGAGGTAATGAAGATGTGTACACATTAATTTAGGTAGGATTTATTCTCTGTCAGACAGTGAAAACCATATTGCTTTTTGCTTTCCCTTCTTCCTTTACTTACAATCTGGGTATATCCACTTTGCTATTTCAGAGTCTTGCTGCAATATGGTGAGAAGTCAAGAAATCTCTGGTGGGAAGCTGCCCTACACCCTACACATAATCTGCCCCTGCATATCCTTCAGAAAGGTTACTGTTCTCACCCTGCATTGGCATCTACAGTGAACCAAAGTTCATCCCACCCACCTTCCCTTCTGGGCCCTGGTAAGGAACTGCACTGTTCTTAAATATTTTCTAAATGAAAACCTTTCAGCTTTCTAGGGCTTTCCTCCTTTACTCAGAAATTGTAAACTCAGTACTAGGACTGAAATTCACCTAAAGGCGAAATTCACCAAAGGTTCCATTCCTATGCCCTGTACACACCTGCCATACAAAAGTTTACCACCACTCATAGTTGGAACACAGTAAAAGTTAAGTGAATTTTGTCATAAGGTGAATATTGTGAAAATATGATGGGAAGAGGAAAGTGCATATCAGAGGCTGCACTGGGGCGGCACACAAAACAGGTTAAGAAATGTATTTTGAAACCTTAGGCAACCCCCGATTAGGAACATACTCTCAGAAAAAGAAGTGGGTGAAAGGAGGAAGCTAAGCTTTCTCAGTTAAGACATGGAAACATAACCTCTAATTTAAATTTCAGAGAATTGCAAGAGGCTGACTTTCTATATCAGGTGATGAGAAAATGAAGGGTCAATCTGATAAGAATCAAAGGATTTTTTCAATGTTATAACCTTTAGTACTTTTTTTTGCTTATATGTCATATATATATATGACAGTGTAAGAGCTGAGGCATTTAATAAATACATAATTTATGAGTGATTTTACAAGGCTGTTAGAATCTTTTCTTTCTTCACACATTTCTAAGTCTGCAAAACAGATGAGGAATGTGTAAGTAAAATTTAATATCATACATAAATAATCAGTGATCGCAAAAGGCATGGAGCATAGAAAGCTTATCTTCCCTGTGACCCATCCAGCCTATGGTCCCATCTTCATGGACAGACTTAAGGACAGACATATTGTCTGTGAAATCCAGTAGGTCATTCGTTCATTGTTGTCTGCTGTGTTTGAGGATTAACATTATTTGTGGTTTCATAATCTTGGGTTTTTATGAGGTACGTAAGTTTTACCACTTCTCGATAAACTGTTACTTTTCATTTAAGAATTGTGATTGGCTTTAGGCAGCAATGCTGACCTTGTACAGTATATATCTTATCTCTGAAGTGTCTGTCTTTTTATGTCTTGGTGTATAATTTTGTTCTTGAAGCTAAAAGGCCATAGCTGACTTGGAATTACTGAATATCTTTGACAAGGTAAGCATTATTTTATACTAGAGGCCCAGTTCACGAAATCCGTGCATTGGTAGGGTCCCTAGCGGCTGCTGGCCACAGGCCAGGGCCTCCCTTCCCCCCAGCTGCCTGCTGCTGCCGAAGCCAGCAGGAGCAGGGTCAGCGGGGGGAGGGGCCATGGGCAGCTGGCCAGACGGCCCTGCCCCCTGGTCAAACTCCCCATCGAGGGGACAATTTGCATATTAGGCTTTTATTATATAGGATATTTGAAATCCTGTTATTTTAAATATGTACATTTGAGAAAGGGAAGTATTTATATTCTAAAATTTTATCCAGTGAGCTTTGCTGGTGTGGCTCAGTGGTTGAGCGTTGACCTATGAACCGGGAGGTCACAATTCTATTCCTGGTCAGGGCACATGCCCAGGTTGTGGCTCGATCCCCAGTGGGGGACTTGTAGGGGGCAGCTGATCAATGATGCTTCTCTCTCATTGATATTTCTATCTCTCTGTCCCTCTCCCTTCCTCTCTCTCTCTAAAAATCAATAAGAACATTTTTTAAAAAGTAAAAGCAGAGTAATTCATCTTAAAATAAAAATATAAATTGCTAGAGCATTGCAGTTTGTTTTTTACAAAAAGGAATTCATTAGTAATGCTAATTTAGTTAAACCCATTGCCTTGAAACTGCTTCATACATGTATTTTGAGAGTGTATTTATTTTCTCCACATTGACCGTGTTTTCATTAAAATGAACTGCCCAGAGTTATAATACATTTCTGGTTGCTGGGTGTGGCTTCCTATCAGCAGGCCCACATCCTACCCAGTTTCAACACTGGCACTTTGAGGCTTAAATAGGAAAAAAATAGTGATATTTATCTGGTTAATAAAGTTTTACTTTTCTTAACAGAAAGTTGAAAGGTATAAGTCTAAAATCCAATATGCTCATATCTTTAAGATAGTTTTATTTCTTTTTTGCTGACAAAACAACAACAACAAAAAGTAGTGGTGGCTTGGGGAAATGGGACTTCCCTTGATTAAATTCCCACATCAGATATTCTTGTATGTAAGTTGCTAAGAAAAACAGGTGACAATCAGCATTTGATTTTGCTTTTGTCATATGACACCATCCCTCCCTGTTTTCACCCAGGATGGTCTCTACCGCCCTGGGCCAGTGAGCATGTCTTGTGCTTATATCCTGGTATAAGATAATCCTCATTGTTTCTGGCAGCTCAGTACCCCAGCAGAAGGCCCAGTGTTCACTTGTGACCAAGAGTGAGTGACCCAAGAATGTTGGAGGTTAGCAGAGATAGCTGGAAGTCCTTAGCTGTGCCTGCCACAGAGAGGACTCCCTGTTGGTGGCTATTCTAGTCCTGGGATTATAATCCTCATCACCATCTTTCTCATCATCATAGGCTCAGTGTCTCCCTCAAGTGTTTCAGTTTGACCATTTTTAGGATGGGGTGAAGCAAATTAAGCTGTCAATGAAGGAGGAAGATACGGCAATTTCAGAAAGCAGCATTTCACTAGAGCCCTGTGTTCCCTGCTTTACCTTCACTGCCCCCCCTCCCCCTAGCTAATCACTGGCTGTAAACTCCAATTACTGTTTGCTGTCATCTCAAGTAGCAGACAGTAAATGTTGACAGTCTTAACTGTGGGGACTGGTAACATGATAAAATAAAGATAAAATCCTTGCACCTGTTACCCAAGATGAAAATAAAATCAGTTTCACTTAGTGTATTTTCCCGTGAAATTTAGACTAATTGTCACATTAAAGTAATTTAGGCATGAGATCTTAGACCAGGGGTCCTCAAACTACGGCCCGCGGGCCACATGCAAATACAAATATTGTATTTGTTCCCGTTTTGTTTTTTTTACTTCAAAATAAGATGTGTGCAGTGTGCGTAGGAATTTGTTCATAGTTTTTTTTTTAACTATAGTCCGGCCCTCCAACGGTCTGAGGGACAGTGAACTGGCCCCCTGTTTAAAAAGTTTGAGGACCCCTGTCTTAGACCATGAAAAAATACATTTAATTATGTTAATTCTTAATTTAATGAAATACAAAGACTATCATCTAGAGTAACAGTTTTGTTACTAGTCCAATGATTCTTAACGTCATGATCTCCTTACTTTTAGAAGAGAAACATTTCTTTGTAGAACAACTTGGAATAGAATGGCACTGTATAAATGTAGCCACTAGCTTCATGTATGTACAGTAGGTCCTTGGGTTACATCGGAGATCCGTTCCTACAGCGTGACATAACGCGATTTTCGCCGTAAGTCAGAACCCACCTACATAAGCTCCTATGTCACTCATATGGAGCACATACACAGCGGTAAAGAAGTGAAACAGTAAAAAAATTTAAAAGAAAGATAACTCCTGACCTTTACTTGTGGTGAATAAATAATAAAAAAACATAAAGCACATATGTACATACGTCAAAATGACAGAAATTTTTTTATATATAAATAAATGGGAGATGGTGACATAACCACGAAACGACGTACGTCAAGTCCGATGTAACCCGAGGACTGTCTGTATTTACATGTAAATATAAATTTATTAAAATTGTATGGCCACATGTGGCTAGCACTTACCATATTGGAAATGTCCATTGGTAGAGGAAAGAACCGTTCTGTCTGACAGGACTGGCCGATAGTATAACTGAACTCTATTAGAAAGTTGTTTTATATTTCTCCATTTAATTGTGAAGAACACAAATAATGCTTGGAGAACAATAGTATAGTAAGTGCTCACCTACAGGCATGGATGGGTGCTTGGAAACTGTGACTAACCAGTATTATCATAGGCTCATGGATATAATGAATAAGAGTTAAGTTTCTATGGCATATTTCTGTATATCAGTGAACCTATAGTAAAATTGATTGCCTTATAAGTCATTTTGCTTAAAATTGCAGTTTCCAAGAACTATGTTGAGGGTTTAACTTTATTGTATTTATTTTACAATGTTTTCTTCACAAATAATTCTGTCAATCCCCAGATAATTTAGGTCAGGACACCGAGCCTGTGTTGTCTTTCATTAACTTTCAAGTAGTCTTGAGAAACAATGGGCAGGTTAAGAGCCCCTTGGGATTATATTAACGGCCCCAGAGGTATCTGTAGCTATAGGGAACTAACAAATAGGGCTGAATGAACTGAGCACCAAGAAGTGTGGGCTCTAGTCTCCTCTGCTGATAATGTGCTAATTCAGTGGTTGGCAAACTGTGGCTCGCGAGCCACATGCAGCTCTTTGGCCCCTTGAGTGGGGCTCTTCCACAAAAGACCGACTTCTGCGCATGGGCCACGAAGTTTCAATCGCACTGTACGTGCGCGCCCACGTGTGGTATTTTGTGGAAGAGCCACACTCAAGGGGCCAAAGAGCCGCATGTGGCTCGCGAGCCGCAGTTTGCTGACCACTGTGCTAGGTTAATTGGGTTCAGCATCAAAGTGCCTTTTACAGCCCTGGTGCTCTAATAAAATAATTTACTATGATCATCCTCACAAAGTCACCTGGAGGGTCCTTGTGTATCCAGTCCTGCACTAAGCTCTAGGCCTACTAGGTCTTTAATTAGATGAGGAAATAGCACATCTCAAGTTAAAGTACAGTACAGGGGCAAGGCACAGGAGAAAAAGCTAACAAACATGTAGAGTAATGCTTTCCAATAGATATAATGTAAGCCCTGGCCTGTGTGGCTCGGCTGTAGCATCATCCAGTGCACCAAAGGGTCTCCAGTTGTATTCCCGGTCATGGCACATACCCAGGTTGTGGGTTTGATCCCCAGTTGGGTGCTTACAGGAGGCAGCCAGTCAATGTTTCTCTCTCACATCAATGTTTCTCTCTCGCTCTCCCTCTCTGGCATGTTCGTTCTCTCTCTCTCTCTCTCTCTCTCTCTCCCTTTTTTTTTCCCCTCCCCCTTCTCACCTCCTTTCCCCCCCCCCTCCAAAAAAAAAATCAATAAAAAGCATATCCTATCCTCGGGGTAAAGAATTTTAATTGGGTTCAGCATCAAAGTAAGAATTTATGGTAAGAATCGGGTAAGAATTTATGGCATATATATATATGTCATAAATATATATTTGTGTAAGAAGCCATCTATAATAATAAAAGCGTAATATGCTAATTAGACTGGACAGCCAAAGGACCTTCTGGAAATTATTCTGGATGTCCTTCCAGACGAAGCAGAGGAGGTTAGGGGCGATCAGGCGGGCAGACAGAGTGGTTAGGGGTGATCAGGCAGGCAGGCAGAGTAGTTAGGGGAGATCAGGCAGACAGGCAGAGTGGTTAGGGGTGACCAGGCAGGCAGGTGAGTGGTTAGGGGTGATCAGGCAGGCAGGCAGGCAGGAGAGCAGTTAGGAGCCAGCAGCCCAGATTGCAAGGGGGATGTCCCTGACTGCAAGAGGGTACAGGTTGGGCTGAGGGAACCCCCCCACCCCTGTGCACAAATTTTGTGCATTGGGCCTCTAGTATATATATAATATATAATTAATATATATATATTAATATATGCCACATAGAAATCTAAATACAAACCAAGTATTTCTAATGAAAATTTAGCTTCCAAATTGATGTATACTGTACATGTAAGATAACAGATTTTAAAGAAGTATGGAAAAAAGTGTAAATGCCTCAATAATTTTTCATATTGATTACATGTTGAAATGAACGGCCATATTTTTCAATATATTTGGTGAAATAAAATGTTATAAAAATTTCTCTTTTAAAAAATCTTTTTAAATGTGACTCCTAGAAACTTTAAAATTACCTCTGTGGTTGGCATTCTATTTCTATTTGTAAGCATTAATGTAAAAGGATAAAAGCAAATAACCCTAAATAAGTAATGGTTAAAATGTGAGCTTAGTTAAGAATAGTTTTAAATGGAATAAAAAGATAAAGGCAAACAACTATGGGAAATGAACATAAAAGGGAGTAATATTTATGAGTGCTGTGCGACTATACACTTTGTTTATGTTCCTAAGAGGTCTCTGATAGCAATAGTGTCATCTCTGTTTTTCAGTTGAAGAAAGTGAAGCTCAAGGAGGATAAGTGCTTTCCTGCCAGGTCACACAACTAGCAACTGGAGAACTAGATTGAAAATCTGGGGACTACACTCTGCACAGGGCCTCTGAGCTCCTGCAGGTTCTGCAGGTGCAGGCCTCCTGTAAGCTCCCTGCTTCGGTCCACTCTGGAGACTGAATGTTTAAAGGAAACCCAGGATTTGGTTTCATCAGGTATGGGAAGACACACAGACACGGAAATGACTGTCATGTAGGAAGAATTTTGTTATACTCACAGATCCCTAAAATAGGAGGCCTTGGCACACCACCCAGGGCCACGTGGGAAAGCACCAGGGATGGTCAGGAAGCAGTGAGAGAAAAAGAAGACATGGAAACAGTCTTTATTGTGGAGTCCATGGGAAAGAATCGGGGAGGCAGCATAAGCAGGTTTAGGATTGGGTGCTTTGAATAATTTCAGTGGGTTCTGGGGCAGAGAAGCTGTCCATAGTTGACTGGTCCCAGGCCCTGGGGTGATTAGGGCAGAGGAATAGTGACCCAGAGATTAAGAACCCTATAAAGGAGGTGACTGGGGTCTGGACTCTGGATTGCTTGGTTTGCAGATGAAAGGCATACTCCCAGTTGTTTGTTCTCTCTAGGAATTAGCTAACCGTGGGAGGGGCCACCCTTCTACTTCAGCAATATGTCAGATATCAAAGCATCAGATACAGAAACTGGAAAACATGGTTACTACAATGAGGTTTCTGGACAGCTTCAGCCTCCGGAGCTTCCGCAGGCCAAATGCCAGTGAGGCTCAGAGTGGGGAGCAAATGGAGAAGGTCACACCTTTCCCTGTAGACTGTGGGCTCCAGCCTGTCAGCAAACAACCTATTCATTTGTTTTGTATCTGCTTTCATTCAGTGACGTTTATAACATTCTAAATTGTCAGTTTAAGTGCAGTTTCACTACCGGGGATTGTTTTTAGGTAGTCACCAGGGGTCTGATTTTAAATCACATTCTATTACAATTGCATGACAAAGTGAGATGTCAATTGTTTTAATGTTCTCTCATTTATTGTTCTTTAGCTACACAAGCATCTTAAGGAGCTACAAAAATTGGTGGATATACTGCCATCAATTAAGCATAAGGTAATTTTTTTTTTTTGTAAATCACTTGAAATATATTTTATGTTTCAATCTCAGACTAGAGACACTAACAAGGCCCTTTGTATTGGGAGATGTACTTTACCTCAGTGGATTCTGTTAGTGGGCACTAGCCACTGGTTTTGCTGCCATGGCCTGAGCATTCGAGGACTTGGGAACATAATGATCCAGGTGACAGACTCGGAGAGTGGTGGGGTAGTCAGGGATCCTGAGTAGGTCCAGTAGTCCGGGCAGGTGGGCATCAGGCAGGCTGGGTCGAAAGACCCAAATTCCACTATGGTATCCTCCTCTGCTCCCAACACTTGCTCCCTCTCAGTCCTTGTGGACACACTTAAAGCAGCCTTCTTGACTCTAGCTACCCTCCCTCAGGCAGGAAGCAGAGAAAAGTTGGACAGAAACTTGGCTTGTCCACCTCTAAATAACAATTACCCATATCCTTCAGGACGGATACCTTTGTCCAGCCCCAAGATCAGTTGTTCAATATTCAGAATCCCAAAGGGGCTGCTCCCTGGAAGTCCATATGTTGCTCTCTTTCTCTTTCCTTCCCCATCTCCCCCTCTTTCCTTCCTTCTTCTTTCTCACTCCCTTTTGAGTCTAGGATCCTGGCTCCTCCTAATTTGCATTGCATTTTAGAAAGGAGGATGCTATTAGTCTCTTGAAAAAGGAAGCCTCCTTCTTTGTGCACCAGCCACCACCTAATGCCCCCCAAGAATTCAGAGGAGACCACCTGCTGGAAACTCGCTAGAATGGAGGGGGAAAATGGGTTCTGCTGTGTTCCCACTGAGGAGTGTCAGAAATACAGAGTTAATTGCAGGCATGGGCGTGCGTGATTCTGTCTAGAGGACCTAAGGAGCTCTTCTGGACCACGGCTGATCCCCAGACACTCCTAGAGTTGTTGCCTTGTCATCTGATTCCTGAGTGGTGGTCCTCACCATGAAATGATAGTTTGGTGACCCTTTCTCTTGGCCAGGATACCATAGTGGAATTTGGGTCATTCAACCCTTCCTGCCTGATGCCCACCTGCCCGGACTACTGGACCTACTCAGGATCCCTGACTACCCCACCACTCTCCGAGTCCGTCACCTGGATCATTAAGAAGCAGCCTGTAGAGGTTGATCATGATCAGGTACACTCTTTCCACATTTCTGTATGAGGAAATTCTAGTTTTCCTCTTCAAAACAAGCCTGGGCTCAAACTTTGGGATCAGTTTTTAACTTATAATGCTTATACATTCTTATTAAAATGTGCTAACTTCTTGTCTAATTTGGGTATGAATTAGAAAAAGCTTTAGTGAACCAGGGAAAGGTGTTAAAACATAGAACATAAGCTTTTTGCTTTCATTCTTGACAGTGACCTATATTTTGCTGTATACACATTGGGTAGAGTCTCTATAAAAATTAAAACTCTTTTAAATGAGAAAAAATGAAGGCTGGAAATAGCTATGTTTAAAACCTTTTAGTTAAGTAAATTTTACTAAGGAATCTTAGAGTAGAGACAGAATCCAGTAAAGCCTAAATAGAAATTTTATTCTAAGTTGGGAGTTTAGACTTGGTATTTTTTTCTCCTTTAGAAATTAAGTGTATCAACATACAAAATCCTGTTTAATAAATTAACTAAACTATAATAACTGTTTTTACTTGTTTATATTGGATTTTTATTGATTTTTTTTCATAACAAAATCTTCCAAATTCTTTTTTTCAAGGCAGTGTAACAATGAAACTAAAACACACTAAATGTTGGGATTCCCCCAAAAAAGTAAACAGTAGACCAATATTTCTCAAGAAAGTTTAGGAAAAAAGAAAGCTAAATAAAATATTGAAATGGAATCCAGAGTGCATCAGAAGAAATATATACTTTGTCCGAGTGTAGGATTTTTTTAGTATTGCAAGGATGTTTCAGTATTGGGGAATGATATGATTAGGTACCTACTATTATTAGCATCTATTTATATAAAAACCCTGGGTGTTCGCCTGTCACATCCAAGGCACCCTCCCCTGAGCTGTTTCCCATGAGGGCAAGGTTTGAGGCAAGAACCGGCCCTCAGAGCGTGGACGCACTGAGTCCTGGGTCGCCTTGCCAAGGACTGCGCCCTCCCCAAGCTGTTTCCCGCAAGTCTGAGAGAAGAACCCACCCTCGGAGTGCCAGGAGCACCCAGCGGCAGTCAGTCCTGGGTTGCTGAGGCAGAGGCTACGGTGTGGTAGAACTCTGGGTCTGGCCCAACAGGGGGCATGGCTGGCCTTCAAACCAGACCCTGACAGTAGGGAGGAGGGAGCCCCGTTCCTCACAGAATCTGCTGTTGGATAGCTTGCTGTCAGTGGCCTGCCAGCCAGAAACCCCATTCACCTGCGTATCTGTATAAAGTTTTAATACATTATATTAGAGGTCGTGGTGGTATTGTTTTACCCACAGCGTCTACAGGAATTGCTGCAAATTTACTTCCAGGTGGAAGGACCTTTCATTCCCAATATAAATGACCAATTCCATTAAATGAAACTTCAATTTCTAGACTCGATATAAACAGTGAAGTTGCTAAAACTATTAAAAAGGCCCAACTTCTCATTATTGATGAATGCACATGGCATCCAGTCATGCTATAAACGCCATAGACAGATTACTAAGAGAAATTATGAATTTGAATGTTGTATTTGGTGGGAAAGTTCTTCTTCCTGGAGGGGATTTTCAACAATGTCTCACTGTTGTGCCGCATGCTATGTGATCGGCCATAGTACAAACGAGTTTAAAGTACTGTGATGTTTGTGGATGTTTCAGAAAGTTGTCTCTTACAACAAATATGAGATCAGAGGATTCTGCTTATAGTGGATGGTTAGTAAAACTTGGAGATGACAAACTTGATAGCAGTTTTCATTTAGGAATGGATATTATTGAAATCCCCTGTGAAATGATTTGTAATGGATCTATTATTGAAGCTACCTTTGGAAATACTATATCTATAGATAATATTAAAAATATATCTAAACGTGCAATTCTTTGTCAAAAAAATGAGCACATTCAAAAATTAAATGAAGACATTTTGGATACACTCGATGGAGATTTTCACACACATTTGAGTGATGATTCCATTGATTCAACAGATGATGCTGAAAGGAAAATTTTGCCATTGAATTTCTTAATAGTGTTACTCCTTCGGGAATGCTGTGTCATAAATTAAAATTGAAAGTGGGTGCAATCATCATGCTATTGAGAAATCTTAATAGTAAATGGGGTCTTTGTAATGGTACTAGATTTATTATCAAAAGATTACAACCTAAAATTATTGAAGCTGAAGTATTAACAGGATCTGCAGAGGGAGAGGTTGTTCTGATTCCAAAAATTGATTTGTCCCCATCTGACACTGGCCTCCCATTTAAATTAATTCAATGACAGTTTCCCATGATGCCAGCATTTGTGATGACTATTAATCACAAGGACAAACTCTAGACAGAGTAGATATCTATATTCCTACCTGAACCCGTTTTCGCACATGGTCAGTTATATGTTGCTTTCTCTCTAGTTTGAAGAGCATGTGACGTTAAAGTTCTAAATACTTCAGCACAAGGGAAATGATTCAAGCACTCTGAAAGTGTTTTCACTCTTAATGTGGTGTACAGGGAGATATTAGAATAAGTTTAATCACTTTATCAGCCATTGTTTGCATCACTGTTGTTCTATCGTGTTTTTGTTGTTTTCATATCATGTTTTTGTTTTTATATCATGCCTCTGTTATATCCTTTTGTTACTGTTTATTAATAAATTTATATATTATTTTCATATACATTTTACTAATTTCCTTTCATCTCTCACACTTCTATTATAGAGAAAGGGCAAATAGCAATATTAAAATATTTCCGCTAATTAATTCCCTTTTAATGTGCATGAATTTCATACACCGGGCCACTAGTAAATAAAATTGAATTAAATTCCAGTAGTAGCCACTAAAGTTAGACAAAAAAAGATAAAGAAAATTGGAGAAACAATCAGTGGAGTCCCATATTAATTTATAGAAGTCAATTCCTTTGACGTATAAAAATCACAATTAGAAAATATAAGGGACGGAAGAGCCCAACTTATAATGGAAATTAAAAAACTAAAATACTTTGGAAAGAACTTAGCATAAAATGTTAACAAGAAAACTGTAAAACATTCCTAAGGGACACGATAAACTTGAATTAATAAAATTTATACCTTGCCCTGTCTGGTTTGGCTCAGTGGATGGAGTGTCGGTCTGGGAACTGAAGGGTCCCGGGTTTGATTCTGTTCAAGAGCACGTACCTTGGTTGCAGGCTTCTCCCCAGCTCAGGCCCTGGTTGGAGCTTGTGCGGGAGGCAACCAATCGATGTGTTTCTCTCACATCAATATTTCTCTCTGTCTTTCCCTCTCTCTTCCACTCTTTAAAACTCAATGGAGCCCTAACCAGTTTGGCTCAGTGGATAGAGCGTCGGCCTGTAGACTGAAAGGTCCCAGGTTCGATTCCGGTCAAGGGCATGTACCTTGGTTGTGGGCACATTCCCAGTAGGAGGTGTGCAGGAGGCAGCTGATTGATGTTTCTCTCTCATCAATGTTTCTAACTCTATCCCTCTCCCTTCCTCTCTGTAAAAAATCAATAAAATATTTTTTTAAAAACTCAATGGAAAAATATCCTCAGGTCAGGATTTTTAAAAATTTATTAATTTAAAAAATAAAATTTATACCATGTAATTGAATAGAAAGTCATCCTAAAAACATCTTTAATGTCAGTTTCCCTTAAGTTGTTATTTTCCATGAATTGTTTATTCTCCATAAATTTTATCTAGTCCCAGTAAATATACCAATGGTTATGTTGTGGGAGGCTGCCCGGTGGTAGGATGTTTAACAGCATTCCTGGACTCTACCCATTGAATGCCAGTGGTACCCCAAGTATGACAACCAAAATTTTCTCATCATTCTTTAATGTCTATTGCAAACTCACCCTAGTTGAGCACCACTGATATATGCTAATCTCCAATATCTACTAATTAATGAAATGCATTACATCATGATGCATGAGAAAAAGAAACTGATGTGTCTTCAGTGGCTATGAAAATGGGTTTTATCTAATCAACATGTTGATTTACCAGTAAAATCATATGACTAATTGACTTATGTCTATATCTTACCAACAGAAGACTGGTTTGCTACAGGGTCATTAGCCTCAAACCAGAACGATACCCACTGGGTTTTATTGCAAATAGGATGTGGGAAATTGCGTAGACATTGGAAAAAATGCATGATAAAAAATCCATACCCAATGGCATTAGACTATTCAGTGTGATGCTATTACCACCTTAAGAGATGTTAGATGTCTCTGAAGAGTTATTCTATCATGTAAAATACCTTAAGAAAATTTCACCATAGGAATTTTTCTGTTTTCAAAATCATACACCTGGGTATCATTCCTTAAATAAGGAATTAGCAAAAAAAATTCATCAATGAATGGAGAGTCTTAGGGATCTCATTCCCCAATACCCATCAGCTGGCCACACCCCTGTGTCCCAAGATAATTAGCCTATCACGGGCCTCAGAAACCTTCTGGTTCTCCCTCTTTAAGTTTAGTGTCCTCTCCATTCAGCTGTCCACCTCTCAGATCTGGATGAAATCTGTTGCCCACTCTTGGATTTTATTGATTGTGGGCTGTTATTTTCTTTCTATCTCCCATCCCAGCATTGTAATGCCTTCTATGTGAGCTTTTGAGGATAATTTTCACAAGGAGAGATTAAGTCACACCACCTTGAACCAGCCTCCAAAGATAAGCACTATAATCAGTTACCCAGAGCCTTTGGATGCTCTGGTTTTAAACTTGGATGTTTTCAACTATAGTGGAAAATGTATTTCACTCCAACATTACCCGTAGAAATGAAAAGAGAGAAATGACATTAGTGTTCAGAGAGAACAAATCTACCCGTGAATGAATGCAGATGGAAAATTATGTGAGAGTTGCCCTAGCCGGTTTAGCTCAGTGGATAGAGTGTCAGCCTGCAGACTGAAGGGTCCCAGGTTCAATTCTGGTCAAGGGCACATGCTTGGGTTGCAGGCTCAATCTCCAGTGAGGGGTGTGCAGGAGGCAGCTGATCAATGATTCTCTCTCATCATTGATGTTTCTATCTCTCTCCC